GGGTATGCGTACCACACTTTGGGAAACACTGGTGAAGGGTTTAGTTTCATTAAAAAAATTATTTTGAATCACTCCGTCATATCAGTTCGTCTTATCAGTACGTCTTATCAGTCCGAAATATCAGTCCATCTTATCAATCTGTCTTACATTACGTCTTATCAGTCCATCTTATCAGTACGTCTTATCAGTCCATCTTATCAGTACGTCTTATCAATCTGTCTTAACATTACGTCTTATCAGTCCATCTTATCAGTGCGTCTTATCAGTCCGTCTCATCTCTCGGTCTTCGTGGGTCGAATGTGTAACTTGCAATCTGCAACCACCCCCACCCCCTTTTTTTGAGAGAGAGAGAGAAAGAGACTCGAGTCTCATCTTGTAGAGCAGCATTATTCAACCTGTGGGTCACGACCCCTTTGGGGATCACACGACCATTTCACAGGGGTCACCTAAGAACATCGGAAAAATCATATGATGTATAGGTATCAAGAAGAAACGTAAATAATTTTGTAGTAGGGGGTCGCCACAACATGAGGAACTGTATTAAGGGTCACGGCATAAGGAAGGTTGAGAACCACTGCTGTAGAGGCAACATCTTCTTTACTCTTCCCCAGGTGGACGACCAGTATATCGGTCGGCCATCTATACTTCTGTCAGCAACGTTTCTGTTATTACCTACATACATAAATTCACCGTACTCAACAGCATTAGATAGCAAGCTAGATAAACAGTTACATAAAACACGATTGGAAAAGACATTTCAATTTAATAGGCATTTTTTTAAATGAATAGATTTGAAACGCGAATGGCAATAACATAAAAAAAAAGCTATTTATTTACCCCTAAACTGCAGGTCTAATGCAAGGAAGGACTAGTGAAGTCAGGAGTAGTGAAGGGAGGACAAGCAAAGAAGGACTAGCCAAAATGTTATATAAATTGATCATGGGCCCTTAATGTATAGAAGAAGAAGAACTAGAAAAGGGATGGCTAGCGAAGGGATGACTACCGAAGGAAGGACTAGCAAGCGATGGAAGGATTAGCGAAGGTATGGCTAGGGAAGTGATGACTAGGGAAGGGATGACTAGGGAAGGGATGACTAGCGATGGAAGGATTAGCGAAGGTATGACTAGGGAAGGGATGACTAGGGAAGGGATGACTAGCGATGGAAGGATTAGCGAAGGTATGACCAGCGAAGGGATGACTAGTGAAGGGATGACTACTAACGAAGGGATGACTAGTGAACGGATGACTAGTGAAGGAAGGACTGGCGAATGAAAGACTAGCGAAGGGAGGACTACCGAATGGATGACTAACGAAGGGATGACTCGTGAAGGGACGACTAGCGAAGGGATGACTAGCGAAGGGATGACTAGCGACTAGCGAAGGGGTGACTAGCGAAGGGAGGACTAGCGGAGGGAGAGATGGCTAGTGAAGGAAGGACTAGTGAAGGAAGGACTAGCGAAGGAAGGTAGGACTAGCGATGGAAGGACTAGCGAAGGAATGACTAGCGAAGGGATGACTAGGGAAGGGGTGACTAGCGAAGGGAGTAAGATGAGAACGGAATTAAAAAATGTAGTTGGTAGGGTATTGGGCGGGAGTTGCTAAGGGTGAGCTATTTGCTGGAAATATATATTATGTGAGTGTGAAAGGGTGAGCTGTTTGGTGTTAGTACTATGGATGGATGGGGTTGGTTATGGTTTGAAAAAGAGGGGGGAGGTGTAAGGAAATTGTTGATATTGTAGATCAAAAATAATTAAAGCATTAGCAAAAGTGACGTACATTATGTCAATCTAGTGCAGCGTTGTTGAATTTATTCAACAAGAAATGCCTGGTTCTGGTCAGCCATTTAAGAATTCCGGTTTGGTACTTGGTACATATCATAATTTCAATTAAGAAGGTCTCTCAACTCTATCTGACACATTAAGTGACATGATAAATAGATAGTGCGTGGTGGTCGGTTGTAACTGCGCCACAAAATAATAATAATAAAAATAAAGTGTATTTCAAAAACACGCTTCATCCCCAAAGGCTCGAAGCGCGGTACAAGAGTAAAAATCAACAACAAAAAATCTATAATTTACCACATTTAAAACAAATGCAACACTACAAAAACTAATTACAAGCATACAATATCAAAGTCTTTCAACCCATTTCAACCCTGAACAACACAGCCAATATGCATTAAATGGAATTTATGGTAGACAATCATCCCTGAAGGTGTTTGCGAAATAAATGTGTCTTTAAATCGGTTTTAAAGGACTCCAGTGTCTGATTGTTTCTGAGATCGACTGGAAGGGCGTTCCAAATTGTTGGACCAGAAATGCGAAAGTGCGCTTTCCGCAAGTCTCAAGGCGAACACGTGATGTCAAGAGTTTGCCACTGAAGGATGAGCGGAGTTGTCTAGTGGGTACATAAGGTGTCAGCAGCTCTTTCAGATAGGACCTTTAATGGGCGCAAGGTCCTTATAAGTATGATAGTCATATATTTTAGGTCAACTTTATTTAATTCAGGGCAATTGAAATCTTTGGCCAGATCCTTTTTATAAGAGCAGACACTTTTCTGGATGGGCGTTCAGAAACAGCGCCGTACGTCTCCACGCATTGCCTCACCCTGGTTTTTTCTATCTTCTGATTAATGATGTGGAACTTGTGGCACGGAACACATACAACATGCGCCAGCTCATTTAACCTTTTCACATCCCAAACACTTTCCTTTTAACCCACACAGATCTCCTGATCAACTCATTTCCAATATATATATTATATATATATATATATATATATATATATATATATATCGATAGTTATGAAGGATGTTTTGAAATATTTGGGATATATATATATATATATACATATCCCAAATATTTCAAAACATCCTTCATAACTATCAACATCACCCCCATATGAAAAACAATATCGCTTTACAACTATTGTACGCGTAATTCAATTAGAAACTTACCTACTGTACGCGTGATTCAGCTGCAAATACATTTTAAAGTAAGTAAACAAGCACCGGCTCTCCAGTGATAAGCAGAATTTTTAGCAAAACATAAAAGTTCCCAGGAAAACTGATCCTAGGTGCTTTAACTAAAATAATGTGCTTATTCTATGTCTTAAAATGAGTAATTGATTGTACTGCTTTCTTAAGCACGCACAATTATTAAACTCTTTAGGCCTTAGGCGACCGACCATCTTGTTGTTTGTCCATTCCACGTGAAGATGACAAAAGGCTACCTGCGGCTGTAAGAAAGAAATGAAGTAAACAAAGTAGGGGAAAAACTTTAAAGAACGCAACAAAACGAACGTGTCGACAGAAAGCCTTCGTTAGTGGGAAACCCCCCCCCACAACAAAAAAAAAAAAGTAAAATAGAATTAAATAAGAAATAACATTTCAGAGGCGCTTCATTATATATATATATAAAGGTTTACGTGGATGGATGGATCTTGACTAAACTTGGCATATGTATCCATCATTATCCAGAAGGAAATCTTAAGGGGTTATGAATTTTTTATAACATTCCTTTGGGGGGCCAGGGGCCTCGAATTCGGTTTTTTCCTTATATGAGCTATATAAAAATAATTAGAAACAAATACTCCTACATGAGGTGATGGATCTTGATTAAACTTAAATAGTACACATATAATTTACTATCCATATTCAAATACTGTAAGGTACTGAGCTCATAATATCCATTTCTCTGGGGCCAGGGGGCCCAATTCATTTTTCCTTATATAAGCTATATAAATATCAATAGGCTTAATACTCCTACATGAATGGATGGATCTTGACCACAGGCCCGTTCTTAGGCATACGCTGACTACGCATCCGCGTAGGGCCCCGAACGTGAGGGGGCCCCCGTGAGGCGCCCTCAATCCCCCGGTTTTTTTAACTGGCACTGTAGCCGTCCGTGTCACTCACGTTACCTTCCTCATCCTGAAATGTATAATTCTGAGTTGAATTCGGAGACAGGGGAAGGGAAGCAGCAAGAGGGGAACTTTGGGGGTAGCAGACAGGAAATCGGGGGCTTGGCCGTGGGAACTGGAAAGTATAAATAGCGATAGGTTAGTCTGGCTAAACCATTACACATCGTAGATCGGTGGTGGCAGGACGGTGCTTTTTGAGGATGTCACATTATTCTTTGGATTATTAGTTAAAGGAAAAACTAGTTTATAACATAGATCCTACATCGATGCACCCTTTAAGCTTCGCGCCTGCTCGGCTGCTCGGCCGTGCAGTAATCTCACAGATGCCGCGCAGCAGTTTTGAGTACCGCGCAGCTAATTTCCACTTAAGTGTGTGTTTGTGTCTGTAGGCTGTAAAATTTTGCGCACAAAAAAATTAATGCTGTAAAAATTTGCACACAACTTTATGATTTTGCTCACGAACCAACAAACCTTAGAGGGAACATTGCCCTACATCCTAGTCCTTAGGAATATTGTCAGGAACAAAACGAAGCTATGACCCCGGGTATACTAAAGGGAAGAAAAGAGCAGCTGAAAACGCTTTTATTGCTTCACAAGAAGGAACTATTTTGAGCTTTGTCGTGATGTCTGGATCTAGTACAACTGACAGTATAACCCAAGACGTGCAAAACGACGCAGCTAGTGTCGGCGCTAGCAGTGGCTGCACTACCCATGCTGGTCTTGCCCAAACTGAAGCTTTGCTAGAGATAGAAAGCGATTCTGGTGATGCCTCCTGCCTTTGGAGTACAATCAAAAAACCAGGAAGTCGCACAAGAAAACGTCCAGGTCGATGAGAATTCCGAACTCCAAACTGATCTCTCAAAGTCACCACAATCGTTTTTCCTAAAGGATGACGAACAAAAAGACATGGTTGTGTTAGATTCTGAAAATACTGCTTCTGAAGTCCACCAGCAGATAATTGGGAAGAGGCAGACTTTCACGTGATCCTTTGAAAATAACGACACTGACACGGGTGAACGAAATATTTATTTTTATTGGAAGGATCCAGGGTTGTGGCCTTCATCAATTATTGCTTCTGAACGCCTGTTCTTAGTTGAGAAAGGTCCCTTCAGAGATGAACAGGAAAAATACCCCCCAAATGAACATTCTTCAGACGGACGTCACTTCTCTGTCAATCTTTTCTCACGCAAGCTACAGAACGGGGAGACAGTGAATCGGACCTGGCTTATTTATTCGAAACACAAAAATGCAGTATTCTGTTTCTGTTGTAAGCTTTTCTCTGATTTGAAAATAAAACTCACCAATGACGGAAATAGCGATTGGATAAACATGAGTCGGATTTTAAAAGAACATGAGACTTCCCCAAAGCACATGAGCTTTGTTAAGGCATGGCATGAACTGGCAGTGAGGCTGAAACGGGGGGAAACGATTGACAGTGAATATCAAAAGTTAATGCAGCGAGAATGTGATCACTGGAACAGGGTTCTACAAAGAATCATGTACATTGTGTAGTTCCTTGGAGAAAGAAACTTGGCTTTTCGGGTACCAGTAGCCGTCTCTGGGACTCTAATAACGGCAATTTTTGGGGATTCATTGAACTTCTAGCTAAATATGACCCATGCTTACAGGAATATTTGAGACGTATAAAAAATCAGGAAATACATGATCACTATCTGGGCAATCAAATCCAAAATGAGTTGATACATCTAATAGGAGAGGCGATTCTGAAGAAGATCATTGCAGACACGCAGGTGGCCAAATACTATTCAATCATGCTGGATTGTACTCCTTACACCAGCCATCAGGTGCAGATGACTATGATAATACGAATTGTTAACACTGAAGCGAGACCAGTCGAAATTTGTGAATACTTTGTGGGGTTTTTGCAAGTAGAAAGTAGCACGGGACTGAGTCTCACGGAAACATGTCTGAAGAAACTGGAAGAAATGCACCTGGAATTAAAAAACTGCAGAGCGCAAGGGTACGATAATGGAGCGAATATGAAGGGACGTAACAGTGGAGTGAAGAAACGCATCCTTGAGCTGAATCCCAAGCGTTTTATGTTCCATGTGGCTGTCACAATCTAAATTTGGTTTTAAGCGACATGGCGAAGTCCTCGACAGTCGCAATTACGCTCTTCGGGATTTTACATCAGATATACATATTATTAGCTGCGTCAACTACACGCTGGCAAATACTGAAAAATCATGTGGAAAAACTCACAGTTGAGCCAATCTCAGAAACACGTTGGGAGTGCCGCATCGATTCGGTTCAAGCCCTTGCGTTTTCAAACAGGGTCAATTTATGATGCTCTGGTTGAGGTGTCGTCGGAAACCGCAAATGACCCAAAATCAAGAACCGAGGCTGCTTCTTTGGCGAGACAAAATGAAGAGTACCCTTTCTTGGTGTCATTATTAATCTGGCATGATCTCCTAGAGAAAATTAATATCGTGAGCAAAATGTTACAAACGAAGGACATGCAGTTTGACGTTGCTTTGCAGAGCTTAGAAAACACAACAGAGTTCTTGAAATCCTAAAAGGACACTGGCTTTCAAGCTGCCCAAGATGCAGCTAAGGAACTTGCTGCGGAACTCAAACTTGAGGAAGACGAAATACAATTTCCACCACCCCAGAACGTGCGTAGAAGGAGAGTACCCAGACAATTCGAGCATGAAGCTCGAGATGAGGCGATACATGACCCGGAAGAAAAATTCCGCATCGAATTCTTCAAACCGTGGTATCAAATGTCAGAACGGTTCAAGCAGATGAAATCTCATTGCGATTGTTTTTGATTCCGGCATGATTTACAACGCATAACGCGTATGGGTGAAAGCGATTTGAGAAAATAGTTGTCAATTTGTCAGCAAGGTCTTAACAGATACCGTTAGTGGGTCCTGCATTGAAGCTCTTGATTTGTGTTCAGAGTTGTGCATTCTGACAACATTGGTTCCCACCAAAGGCTTCTACTCTTCCACCAAAGGCTTCTACTCTTCCACCAAAGGCTTCTACTCTTCCACCAAAGGCTTCTACTCTTCCACCAAAGGCTTCTACTCTTCCACCAAAGGCTTCTACTCTTCCACCAAAGGCTTCTACTCTTCCACCAAAGGCTTCTACTCTTCCACCAAAGGCTTCTCCTCTTCGGATTGTGCAATTCCTATACGAGAAAAGCTTGCAAGATTCTTTCCCGAACGTCATGGTGGCGCTAAGCATTGCTTTGACCATTCCTGTAACGGTATAGCGTCTGCTGAGCGGAGTTTTTCAAAACTCAAGCTAATTAAGGATGACTTGAGGACCAGCATGACCCAAGAACAACTAATAAAGGGTTTGGCATTGATATCAATTGAGCAAGAGATTGGCCAAACCCTTGATTATTCAGAACTTATAAAGGATTTTGCCAGGATGAAAGTGCGGACAGTAGACTTCTTAGGTTAATTTAATTTAACTCTTGGCATAGCAGCAGGTTAATCGGAACTCTTAAACATTTCGCCAAAATGAAGGTGTGAAAAGGTAGTTGTAATCGTTTTGTTGCTTTGTCCGTATTAAACATTCCAAAGTTTCAAATATCCAACCAAAATAAAAAAGGACAAAAAACTAAAAAAGAAAAGAAAAGATAAACAAAATTATAAAAGAAAAAATGCAAACAAACAAAAACTAAGCTGGGCTTAGTTACATACCGCCATGTGGTGCCCAGTGGAAACACCTCAAACTGGCTAAATTGTAGCAGCTAACTCCTCCGAGGGGCGAAAAGGAGACGCAGGGAGAGGACCTCGTAACATTACAGGAAAACGTCTCCTTGGTCTAATTTTCACACATTTTCGCGGAGCTTCCGGGGGGCTCCGTCCCCCTGGGCCCCCTGCGTAGGGCCGCTTAACACCTAAGAGATATAGCAATGATGCACACACAAACAAATTATTGATAGCCGGGGGGGGGCGATCTCCTTCCTCAAAATAAGGAAATAAGTGCTCCCAGAGCCATTCTTAGGCATATAGGCAAACTAGGCCACCGCCTAGGGCCCCACTACAACCTGCATGTCCATATATTTCAGAAGTACACATTTTATCTATTGGCGGAATTATCAATATGGTTAGTGGTTACACGCGAGCAAAGAGAAAACATTGATGAAGGCAGAAGGGAGGTGCCGCAGTGGTGGGTGGTGTTTTCTCCTCAGCTCGAGGGAGCTCCATCCCCGGACCCCCTTCCAGGGCCCCCAACCTACTCTCCATGCTTAGGGCCCCCAAACTCCTAAGAACGGCTCTGTTGGACAAACTTAGTACACATACGCTATAGTATCCATCTTCAAATACCGAAGGGTACTGAACAAAAAATATCCAAATATCCGGCGGCCCCATTTCATTTTTCCTAATATAAGCTATATAAATATCAATAGGCTTAGAGAACACTATAGGTTCTATGTGAATTGATGAATATATCGGCCTAGCTTGGTATGAATAGACTTCACTGTCCGTATTAACATATCATTTGATTTAAAACTAAGAAACTCCAATCTGGAATTTTCTAGAAAGTTCGATAATTTTAAAAAGCTATATCTATTGCATTTTTAAACCGATTTTAACGGGACAAATTTTAACTCTATTATTAAACCGTATAATGTTTATAGAGCCCCTCATCTCAGGCATAACTAAATCGGTACAGTTATGAAATGGGCCCCTTGGGCTCCTTAATTAACTTAAAAGAAAAAGGACTAAAATATTGGCATTTGTTGAGGATTTTTATCGCATTCGAATAATAATTAGAAAAGTAGATTTTCGAGTACAATATTAAATTCAATCTAGAATATTCCAGAAAGTTCTAAATTGTTTACACGGGGATATATAGTGGGATCTAAGGGATCGGGCTTAAACCTTGAGTGGATCCACCGGGATCGAGATCACACCGAGAGACGGTCGTGCGCCGAGATCGGTCAGAAAGGGGATCGGGGGTCAAACCAGGATGGGATCCTATGCAATCCCAGGCCACGCCGGGTACATAATGTACATGCACGTGTTTTTTAGGAGTTGTTCTTTTTAGCATTTGGTCTGATGGGACCCGGGTCTGAAGAGCGGCAAACCGTATCCGGTTTCATTTTGACTAAATGCTATTCGGATGTCAGTTGTGGTAGCTTATTTTAGTTTTAAAAGTAAGTTTAAAAACATTTAGATTATTCAATTATCTTTCATTTGATACCAAAGTTTGTCTTACAAACCCTTCGATAATTTGTAAATATTTTTTTAATAAACCCAAACTCTCACTTCTCGAACCTGGGTCCGAATAGCCGCAGCCATTTTCAAAAGCCTGTGATTGGTCATGGGGATCGAGATAACCAAGGTTAATTGGCAAATATGGTAGCCTTTTGTGCTCGAGATATCAGGGTTCGGCGGGCATAAAAGAATCTACATAACCGTGGAGAAATGCTAAGACAAAGAGAGAATTTGGCGGTTCCACTTTAAAAACGTCGACATAACAGGGTTGGCGAGCCCATCGAGGTCGAGATAAAAGGAGGTTCGACTGTACAGAGGGTTTTCGGGGATGGCAAACTCGAATTATGCCCGACCCCTCCCCTCCCCGAGCGGCGCATGTCTAGCACATTGCGAAAATCATATATAACTAGCAGAGGAGTCGCCTTCGGTGGTATTTGCCCTCATGTAGGCCTATTGCTTTTATAGTAGATTATAATTATGTATATAGGCCCTATAGTGCGGCGAATTTTACTTTTCGTAAGGCACAACTGGGGCTGTTTTGGAAAAAAAAAGGCAGCCCGCCCTGGTCAAGGAATAATTATAATTGAATGATACGTTTTACCACGTTCAGACGTCAAGTAAATTAAAACTCAATGAAAGTTTCTCATGTAATGGGCATGGGCAAAGCTATTTTACGGAACCGCGCACAGGAAAGACGTTCATATTTGTGGACAAGTAAACATTTTTCAGTAGTCAGAAAATACTCAAAAGTAAAAACATTACAAGAGAAACAAAGAAAACTATTTATAAAACTGTGATCAGCCCAGTTGTAACAATATGCAAGTGAAACTTGGACCCTAACAAAAACGGCAGAAAACCTATTAAACACACGGGAGAGGAACGTTCTCAGGAAAATATATGGGCCAACAAAGGATGAATATGGATGGAGAATACGAGCCAACCATGAATTGTGCAATCTATATCAGGATCCCACCATAGTAGCAGAAATAAAAGGGGTCCGGGCAACGCTGGGCAGGACACTTAGAGAGAATGCCAAATAACAGAGGAGTGAAAAGGGTGCATCACCGATACCCCAGAGGCTCAAAGGCAGACCTTGGCTTAGATGGATGGATGATGTGGCAAAAGATCTACAATAACTGAAAATCCAAGCATGGAAAAGAAAAGCATTCGCTAGGTCTGAGTGGAGGAAAGTAGTGAGGCAGGCCAAAGCCCTACATCATGGGCTGTAGAAGCCCTACATCATGGGCTGTAGCGTGGCAGGGAAAGAGGGGTGGATGGAAACATTTAACGTTCATGACCGATCTCAGCGCAAAATCATAATTTACTATTTTTTAAATAATATAATTTTTTTTTTTTAATAGCTCATGGAAGGAAAAACACGGCTGTGGGTTTCCGGATCCAGGCATTTCCCATTGTCCGAAAAGCGTTTCTTTCACTCTACACAATCTCCGGAACACATTCATCTATCCATTTAAAAGGGAAAAAAATAATTCCCATAGCCTTCTTGTGTGAGTTATCATTTAATGACATAATCTGTATACAGTGTCACCGCCAGAAAGGTAGGCTACTCTAAATAATTTTTGTAATCTGCCTGTTTTTGTTTACTAACAAACTGGCTTCTTTGGAATAACGAATTTACCTATGCCAAACATTGGCAACTTTAGAAGACCCAGCCTGTTAGCATTTATTGATTTAACCCAGCGGTTCTCAACCTGTGGGTCGCGACCCTTTCACAGAGTTACATATACTCTACATTTATACCTATCGTATCTATGACAATATTTTTGTGGTTGGGGGTCACCATAACATTAGACATTGACATTAGAGTTTAGAGTTTAGAGACTGTTTTAAAGGGTCACGGCATTAGAAAGGTTGAGAACCACTGATTTAACCATTACATTTATTTAAATGAGATGTTTTATAAAAGTAAAAGATTGATAACATGAATAAATCAGTAGACTTATTTTTTGTACTATCTGGTAAAAGACTATTATTGTAGAACTAGAACTAGTTGTACTCATTAACTCACGCACTGTTATAGTACTACTTAGGCTACTTAGTAGTAGTAGTCAATAGTGAATAAACCACTTGCGCGTTACTTGGCACTCCTCAGAACTGCTGTTCCAAATGAAAAATTGAATACTTTTGGTTAGAAAGTGTCCGGCTAACAGCCTAATTAATATCATTATCATCGATACATTTTATGGAAAAATGAATGTTAAGACTGTTAATTTTAATGAGAGACCAGTGGTTTTGCACATGCACAGTTTTCTCATTTTAGTTTTAGGTTCAATTACCAATTGATTGATGATACCTGGAAGCGAAAATTTGGTTCTGCATTTAAATGGCCTCCCCATTTTGTTTAGGCTTTGCTGAGATATGTTTTCCCCACAGTATTTCATTTGAATTTTGTTTAGATTAGAAACTATAAACTAGAATTCAATATAAATTTCAATAATTTCATAGCACATTTATAAATTCATTGTTATGATTGTATTAACAGTTAAGTTTGTTTCCAGTCAATCTCATGTCCATCAGCATCACCATGTTGACTCTTAACTTTGTAAAGTTGACTGGGTGGGGCGAGTTGAGCCCTAAAACTAGAGGAATATTTGGAGTTTCTGTGGGCTCACATGCACAATAATTATGACACTTTCTTTTTTTCCACCCTCTAGCCTCCGGGCATCGGAATACAATGTAATCTAAAATAAAATTAAAATGTCTAATCGCATTATTTTTTCTGATTAGAATAAGATTTTAAGATATTTTAAAATGAAACTATCAATTAGCAAGCATTGAAGAAGTTATTTTAAATTTATTATATTACAAGTAACCGTTTCAAATGAAAACAATAAAATTGGGCCTCACAATGTAGAGTTGCATGTTAAAAAAAGTACACACAAAATTAGATTTTGACAAATTTGAGTAGTTCATCATTTAAATGTACCGGTACAGTAATCTTTTTATTAAGATCATTTTAGCCACAATAGCTGCAAATTTTTTATGAGACCTTATAAATAACTTATAGCCCAAGTTATATGTTTTTAAAAATTAGCAACAGATTAAAACCTGTCAGTCCAGGGGAATAATGGGTCCCAGTGGCCAACAACCCTTTGCCATAATAGGGGCATAAGAAGAAAATCAACATCTGCTGTTTTCAATCAGTGTTAGACTTAGACTTTTTAAGTATCAGCAGTACTTTGAGACCAATCCTTCTCAAAAGAAAAACCACCATCAGGGAATATGAGATTAATGGAAGCTTGGAAATTCCTGATTAAAGTAAAATATATTTTCTCCTTGCGCCACTGTTTGGTACATGTCTGCCTCATACCAAGAATAAAATGTCCACAGTTGTTACCACCTATGAGAAGATACTTGAGTGGAATAGACATGCAGCTAAATAGGGCAGTTATTTATATTTCAGGAGGAGAAAACCTTTAGTAAAAAAACTCAACCTCTTGGTCTTAAGTCAGTAGCCAGTGTTAAATTTTGTTTTGTTTGAGACAATAAAAAATTCCATATGTTTTTTAACTGAACAGTTAAAAATTTTTTAATAATGTTTAGTCGGGAAACCAATTTTATATTAGAATATTAATATTAATATGAACCATCAAGAACAGTTATAATGTCTAAAAACTATAAATAAATATAAAATAAATGCAGCGGTATATTGAATAAGTCCTCGTTAAAAAAAAAAAAAATTTTTTTTTTTATACGTTCTTTGTTCACTTTCCTTTTAAGATATGTCAACAAGTGTCTATTGCATTGTTAAATGTTGGGTGATTCAATTGGGTATGTTTCAGAAGTAACTGAATATCCAGAGAAAATACTAAAATTATTTTACTTCCTTAGGTTGTCTTTGAAGCAATCTCTAGGAAGTTACAGAAATTAAAGTAGGAATTTCCATTGAAAATGTCCAGCACTCTATTCCTGTTTCTAAAGATGGCAACCCCATTTATAACAAAAAGATCAACCGTATATAAAACCTCAAAAAATGCTGTAAAATATTTAACTGCACTGGGCCTTGCATCTCGGATTTTTATGCCAACATACGCATGCACAGCTCATCTGGTGAGTAATTTTTTGCAAAAATATTTAATAGCTTATTTTCCTCCACTAAAGTATTTATTTAATTGTAAAGTTTAATTTCATGCACAAAATGTACCAAACATCAAATGGAAGTATTTGTTAACACCATGAATAATTCCATATCCTGTTAAATTCACCTTAAGTCCACAAACCAAACAGATGTCAATAAAGTGTAGGGCAACATTGTCAAATGATTCCACTAGGCTTGCAATTATTCTTAGTGCCATTCAACCCCACTACTTTTTCAATTATCACATTTTCTATTTGGTAGAGTATAAGATTTTTGTTCCTGTTTAGCTTTGGAAGATTATACAACTTTCAGTACTGTTTAACTTGGGCAATGTCAGTCCAATGGATGTTTTAATATTCTCCTTTTGACTGAAAACATTATGCATGCGTAAAATACCTTATAAAAGTCTGGAGAAATTATGTGTTTTAAACATCAAGATTTATTATGATACTTCTTTATCAGCACTCTACTCCAAACAATTGTTCGTCTGATGAAGTTTCCAAAGCTCAGGCAGCAAAGTTATCAGGGGCTCCCACTATCTTTTCAAAGATTATAGACAAAACGATACCAGCTAAAATTCTCTATGAAGATGACCAGGTAAATACTATTTAAAGTAAATTAAAGAGAAAACTTTAAATTATGTGTGGTTTTCTTTCACATTTCAAATTTTATTAGCAATTTATTTGAAACTTACTAATTTGTTTAATATTCATAAAAAGCCTTATATTAAATAGTTATGACTAATGAAAGTGATAGGAGTCTATTGGATTCATCGGCATATCCTGGTTAGGAATAGCAACAACACAGTGACATCTTTTTCAAAGAGAATTCTAGAGTAGCCTGCAAGTTTTGCCATGTTTTATTTAGGGAATGGCTTCAGTCAGTTAGATTTAACCTATTTTATAATTATATTTAAAAGGGAACTTCATTCTTATTGCTCAATGAGGATTTTTTGTATGTTAGGTCAGATTTGTATTGACGCTTTGTTACTGAGAGCACAGCAAATATTTAAAATTTAATTTAAAAGTTAATTTTATATTTTTTATATGTTTTTAATTTTGAAACATTAGTGCTTGGCATTTTCTGATGTTACCCCTCAAGCACCTGTTCACTTCCTGGTTATTCCCAAGAAAATGATACCTATGCTTAGTCTGGCAAATAGAAATGATGATCTGGTAAGATGTGATTTTATTATATTGGCAAACTACTATTTATGAGTAAATTAGGTAGTTGAATTATTCATGAACAATGAGACCAAGGTAAAAAAAAAACAAAAAAAACAGTGATCAAAAGACTTTTTTAGTTTTGTGAAGTTGAAAATCCAAGGTTAAGGACATAAGTTTCCATTTATCGTTATCATGTAATCAATTTATTTTTATTGCTGAAACCATGTTCAATGTCACATATACTTTTTTGTTTGTTGATTTCTCTTCTTCTTTTGAAAAATTTATATAATTAGATTTGACGTTGGTAATCACATTAGTATTGTTAGTATTTATGTCGAAAGCTCTTCTGTTATTAGTTACTAGGACACCTGCTTATTGTAGCAAAGAATGTGGCAGAACAACAGAATCTTGAAAAGGGATACAGAGTTGGTGAGTGCTAATGTGATTAAATATCAAGTGCTAGTTGCAATGTTGTTGTTTTTTATTGGAGTTATCTAGTTTTACCTCCTGAAATATAAACTCACAGTTTGAATTAAAATTCTTCATTGTTTTAATGGTTAATATAAGTTAGGACCGAAGGATGTACACATTCATTTGTTCCCGAGTCTGTTAGAATTTACCAACATGCTCCAATGCCTGTTACAAAATCTCAATAATCGCTCTTAAAATTCAATATTATCACTTAAGGAGTGCAGCGTTATGGGTATGACGGCTGATTTTTGTGTTTGAGAAATACTTTATACGTTTTGTGTATAAATTGTTCTGGTTTAAAATGATGTCTTGGTAGGAATATTTATCTATGTGCTGAAAATGAGTAAGTACAATGTTATCAAAAAGCATTTCCATGTATATTTTATTGATACAAACAAATGGAAATTCCTTTTGATTACATTTTATTGATCCAAAATTTTATTTTTAATTTTTTTTCAAACCCTCTCAAGATGAGGGATATTTTCACTCAGCAGTAACAGAGCTATCTATGACTTACTTGTGTGCTTGCAAAATAATATTTAAGTATGGCTTATTCTTTGATCAGTAACTCTAATTTTCTGACTAGAATTTTCAAGTGGAAGTTTTTGTAGTATTTATTTACTTCTCTATAGAATAAAAATTTCAGCAGATTCTTTTATTAAGGTTATTCTTTAAAAAATTGACTATAGCAATTAAATTGTATCTAATCTATGCAATTCAATTCCATAGTCTAAAATGTTTGAGTTAAATGTTAAACATCTTTTAATTCTCTTTGTCAACAGTGATCAACAATGGCCCTCACGGATCACAATCTGTTTATCACCTACACATACATGTTCTTGGAGGGCGACAGATGGAGTGGCCTCCTGGTTAACAAAGTTGTATTTTAAAAAAAAAAAAAAAAATTATCATTTGCTTGTGCTTAGAGAAAATATTGCAGAGTGATGAATTTTAAACTTTAAAGGAATGAAAGAAGTCCTGATTCTTTCTAAAAACATTAACAAGTCAAGTTGTATACAATATAATTTTACATGATGACCAAATAGGCGAGGTGGAGTAAATGTGCACAGATTGCGACACTAGTTATGATACACTATTTTAAAAATATTGTTTGTAAATGGAGAAAAATTGCAATGAATTGTTCTAGTTGTTAAGAAAGTAGTTAATAAAAATCATTATAGTATAGAAATGATCTGATTTGACCAAATCAAGCTGCTGGATGATGTTATATAACGAAACGATCTTCTTTAAATCCTTTTAATGTCATTATGTTGGAAATTGTATGTTAATCAAATGTTTATTGTGTTGTGATTTTTGTATTGTCTATTCAAACATTTAATAACTTGTGGTTTTTTTTAATGCAAGAATAATTTGGTAGATTTAAAATTAAAATAAAATAATGTACAGCTAGTTGACACAAGATGGCTTTTATTTTCATTTATCAAATGATACATTGTGCAATGGCATCAACATTTTTAAAGAACATTGGAAATTAATCAAACTAATGAAATTAATTAATTAAATTAATCATGTGAAGACAAATTTGAACCTTTAAAACCATAAGCAATATTTAAAAGAGCCAAACAGCTTACACATGTATTGGATATTTGATTTCTGAAACGATACAATGACAAGGTGGTGTAGAAAAAAACATTTCAAAATTGACCCTCAGAGGAGGCTAAAATTACTTCACTTTTTTTATCAAAACTTCTAAAATGCTCTTAATTGAATAAATCTATTTAAATTTTGACCAGATTATTTATCATGAATGTACAGATTGCTACCGGTACATTACTGTTTAATTGAAATTGAGTTAAAATCGCCTGAAAGCTTTTTCAATCATCAGCTACAATTTTTTTTAAGCCATAATTAAGTCATGACAAGAGATATCAAGTCTGTCAGCTTTCTAACCTTCTTATAGTAAATTACAGCCCAACTGAGTTTAGTCCTGTGGAGTTTTGGATATAATACAATTATACAAGGACACAAAATGTTTAGATTAAAATTACATGAATATTTGATAGTTTTCACAAATACACTTTTATACATGTCAAACCGATAGATTATTTCATTGTACATACGTTGCAAAATTTATAAATTTGAATTTGATGTAGGCCTATTTACAACCCCAAAAAAATTTGCTCTTGTACTTTTCTGAGAGAAATCGACTGCTTGAAATCTATCAATATTCAACAAGGAACATTTTCTTTAAAAATAATATTTTTTTTTTACTGTTCTGTTTTATGAAGTAATTATCAAATTTTTCATTTATCCCACACACACACAGAAAAACATTTCATCATAACTGTTCCTAATTTATGACCAAACTTGTATTCTCTATGCATGTATGGTAATACTTTGAAGTCATTTATAGTTATAGTGCTAAGCAAAATAATAAATTTAAAACTTTTCATTTTTTGGTCTTGAAAATTAAAGCCTAACATTCTATACTATAAATGACTGTGATAAATGTGATCCATTAATAATAAGTCCATATAAATATAAGTTAAAGTAACAAAATATATTTTTCATTTAAAACACAAACTTAAAGGCTTTGAAACATAATTGTCTATATACAGAAATGTTTCACATTAAAGCACATTCAAGTCATCATTAGCAAGGAAACACAACATCAGAGGAAACATAAAACATCATTAATACACGTAGAAAATAGCACAAATAAGCAAAAGCGATTGAAACAAAGATTTTTAAAAGCTTGTTAACACACACCTCAGCCAAAAAAAGGATATTTCGATATCGTCCTACATAAAGTGCTAAAATTAGAAAAGATTGATGGCCTAAAACAAAACCGAAAACTCATTACACTTAATGAAATCGATTTTATGCAGCCATAAATATTTTGAAACCGGTACTATCAATGTATGGTATTAATATTTCGTGTAACATTCCTATTAAATTGTGCAACAATATTAAACTAAGATTACAGAAATTATCTGGTTTATTAAAAAAAAAATGAAAAAATTCAGAGACTTTAATTAAATAGTAATGTATAGCAAATTGACAGCATTTATGATTTTGAGTGTGGATTCTTTCGCTTGTGTAGCAACTGCCTGTTACCGAACCTGAATTTTATCCTAATTTTTATACTCATTCAATCAAACAGCCTGTTGAATACTTTACGCATAACAGTTCCAGGAAATAATTCAACTAATAAATACCAGCACAAACACTTTTCTCCAACACCACATTTGATTGCATATATCAAAGACCAAATAGAATATTTTTCAACTTGCATTGTAAAATAGGGATGTGTGTAAGAGGGCAAAAGATGTGTGCCACTTAGAATGTTATAGTGCTGCTTTTAACTTCACATTTTTTACTTTGTTAAAAAACAACAAAATTTAATCTCCGAAAGATTTAGGATTTAAAAAAAAAAATAAATGAATATACAAACGAGGTTTTCATTGCATACATTCTTAAATTTATTCACTCTCGATTTATCTGTATATAATGCTAAATAATGTCAATCACATTTGTTTTTATGACAAACAAAACCCCCCAGAATAAGCTATTTAAAAAATGTTAACTAGCAGAAAATCTCAGAAGCACATCAACCTCATTGTAAAACTTGGCTATAAACCAGACATATGCAAAATTTTAGTCAGGGGGCTAGATACCCCCTAGGGTAAACTCATTTATAATATAAGTACACATATTCAACTATTTGAAAATTTAAACATTGCTTTTACATAATTTTACTTTAATTAGTTAACTAAATTAACCGTATAATTGTTGATGATGATAAAAAGAGTGAGTGCTAGGCTCTTAAGACATTTAATGTCAGGCTTTTCCTTGTGAGATTTTGGTCACTGAGGAAAATTCAGTTTAAAGAGAGAACCAATGAGTTTCACCATATCATTGCTGGGGAAACTTATGTGGTTCAAATGAAAGCATATATCAGGTTAGGGTTTGCACATGCCCAGTTTATGACCAAATGTACACGGACAGTCAAGGTGACGACTAGCTGAAAATAACTTAAAACAAGCTCTCAGGACTTTAGATATTTACAATGTCCAAAGTGTTCAGCTTGCTTTTTACACTAATGGTGGCAGGCCTGCCTTTTCTCTGCATTTCTGTATAGTCGCTCGAAGCATAAACTGTTTTCTTGACAATTCTCGTACCCTCTGAAGATAAAAGTATTGAAAAATTAAATACAAATTTTTTGTGGGTTCAGAACTATTGTTCAAGTTTTTCATATCATCCAATGTCACTCTAATAAAGAACTTTCGATCATGATTTAATAGAATTAGAATAGTTCAAAAACATATTTTTTTTAAAGTATTTCAAGATCCTACCTTTAAAAATGATTCCAGCTCTATAACATTTTTCCGAAGTGCTTCACCTAAGTAGTAAATAGCGTCTTCTATTGCTTGCTCCTCTGCAAATGCATCTACTAATCTGAAATTATACAGTATTATTAAATTATTAGGATGTAAGATTCCAATTGAAATGTTTCTACATCACAAGTTTTTTGTTGCTACAGTGTAGGCTTACAGTCAGCTACAGTAATTTGTCAACAAATATTTGTTTTATTAACTTCTATTTTTAAGTTTGGGGTGTTAGGGGGTGGGGAAGGGGGGGGGTGGGGGTGGGGGTGTTTGGAATCATTTATATTTAGGCATGGGGAAAGGTGGTGCCAAAAAAAAAAAAAAAAGGTGTGTGAGGCATGAAATAAGCTTCTTTCTTAAATACTTAATAAATGGATGGCCCTCATGGCAGGAGTGGGTAACAGGCCACTAACACTAACATACATGCTTTAAGAAGAATTGTAGTAGAACAAATGATCTACCTCAAGGCAGGAGTGGGTAACAGGTCACTAACATACATGCTTTAAGAAGAATTGTAGTAGGACAAATGATAGATTTGAACTATTATTGCACTAAACTCATTTAAATATCTACTCACTGCCTATACAGTGGTGTAGTTGTTACAACAGCTTCATCAACACTCAAGCTCTCATTTGATTCCATTTTCTGAATGGCATCTTTCACCTCTTTATCCTTATCCTTCAGCAATGTTATATTCTTTTCTATCTCATCCTAAAAAAAATCATTAAAACTGTTACTAGTTACTGACATGAAAAACACAAATATTTTTATTTTAAAAAAATCAAAAGAATTTTACAATTTATAGGTAATAAGTACATATTTTCTTTCACTAAATCTTAAATTCATGAGGTGTCAAATCCTTTTGTTCTGTGGTGTCAAGATGATTTGTGAAATTAAGTTGGAGAAAAGACATGGTGCACATGTGTGGTGACCTTGACCTTCAAATACTACTAGAATTAACTTAATGTAATCAAGTGATCCATTTGCTTTTTCTAAACTTAATGTATTTGTTTTCATTTTTCTTTGTAGTGTGGGAAATATCCACTACATGCTAAAAAGCTATGAACTGACATCATTTTCTCTTTATTTCTTTATCTATTTTGCTAATCTGTGTTTGAGGTTTTGCCCGGTGTTCATGACAGGCAACTAATTTATTAGAGTTAACTCCACTTTCACATGGGGAAGCACTCACAAATCTCAAATACAGTAAAACTGATTGGCCATTATGACAAGTTGGTGGGTCGGCAAATTGTTAATTTACCAAAGCAGAAGCCATTAACTCTTGGTAACAGATGTAGACATGGACATTCATTATGTTCATTTGTATTTTGAAGGGATAAAAAAAAAACATATTAGATTTAAAATGGTAGAAATCAACCAAAGTTTCTAACCCTTTCTTTCTCTAACTCTGCAATGATGATTTCCAATTTCTGTTTGCCTGCTGTTAAATCTTTTTGGGTCTTTGTCAGGACATCCATCTCAGCCTTTGAATAACAAAAAAATGTAAGAATAATGGATCATACATTAACGTACTTACTAATATGTATATATATATATATATATTCAATAAATATAATTAACAAAGAGTAACTGTCGTATCTCTCAGGGTGCACTGAAACTATCATTTTATTTTGGTGTCATAGAGTGCCTTCATGTTAAGCCATATAGTTTAATGTACTTGAATACAAATCATAGCTTCAGGAAGAGCCTTAATTTGCTAATGTATCATGTACTAAGACATAAGTGAAGCCTCTGACAAACAAATGAAGTGTGACATTAGCAGTACAAATGTATGAATGTGGTTCATGATGCCAGGCATATTTATCCTGAATAGATCATATTAGTTAAAAAACCTTCAGGTGAAACATAAAAACGTCCTGCTTAGGGTGATCTGAATGCCATAATGTCTTTACTGTATGTTTTGGTACCAGTACCTGAGTCAAACTCTAAATGTGATAACAAGTTATCTGAACTTAACAAATGTAGAGAAAGCTTTGTTATTCTGTCCTAATCTAGAAAATGAGGAATAGATTCAATATTCACGCTATGTAAGACAAATAAATTTCTATGGTAAGCAAAATATAATCAAAACACTTTTAAATAGAAAAAAAAATTGTTGCAGCATGTGTACTTGGATTGCATGTCAATTGTAGAGATGAATCAAAACATAACAAAGTTAAGGAGAAAAGAGTACTTGTCATGCATAATTTACATCACAATCAAAGCAGTTCTTTGGGCAAACAGTTAACTTTCAGAAATATTTGCACATGACATCTAGAGTATAAACAAAACTCACCTGGGCCTGGGCAAATGTCTCACGGAGTCTTCTCTTCATTTTATCCTCCACAGCAGATAACATGGAGGCTCTCAGGTCGGCCTCAGTAACTGTACCACCTGGGCTGAGGTGAGGCATTTCACATGCACTGCCTAAACAAAAAAAATGGCATCATAAAATAATTTACAGCTACATAAAAATTATTACAAATAATACACATCTACAGCAAGCTCTGCCCACCCCCCCCCCAGGTGCTGTACCGCCCAATTTGAGAACCGCTGCTATAAAAATACTGCAGATATTTAAGCATTTTAATGAGAACAAATATGAGTTAAAATGGTAGCCATTATATATTTATTTGGCTACTTGTAATGTATGGCCTAATGACGCTGATTGCTGAAAATAGTTAAGTGTCGAGTTCATTTTCCAGTTTTATAAAAAAAAAATGTGTTTTAAAAATGCTCGTTTAATAAACTATCATCACTCAGGCTACTATCAACCATAAAAATTGGACCAGAATTTCATTCACTAAGTTAAACGTACGGTTTTAAAGTCAACATCCGCTTTGGCGCCATTCCTAGCCAGTTTATATGACTTTTCTTTTCTACTTTCTACGCAGTTACAACATCCTTGTCATGACCTA